ACTTAAAGCCTAAACATAGTGTAATGTTTATTCCTGTCCTTTGTATTTGTCAGGAAATCTTAACCAGAGTAAAAAGTTTTTGGTACTGTTTTGGGAATGCAGAGCATAAGAGATTTCCATAAAAAGGCATAGGATTTGCTTGGAAGACCATAGTGGTTTTCTAACTTGGCAGTAATGAGTTAGAACTAACTCCCTTTAGAAAGAAAATATTAATTCCAGTTATTCTTTTTTTAATTTTAATTTTAATTTTTTGTGAACATACTGTACAGAGGGGTTACAATTACATGGGCAAGATAATGAGTACATTTCTTATCAAGCATTGCAGCCTTATTCAGAATTTATGTGTGTGTTTTCATTTGTGAGCAGTTTTAATTATATTGATAAATATGCTTATGTTTACACAGTGATAATTCTATTACATTTGTAAATATTGTAAAATTTCTGTTTATAGTATTTAAAAACGGCTTTGAAGTTTAAATATCTTACCATTTCTTTTTTGGGGGGGGGTCCGGTCGTGGGGCCTGAACTCTGGGCCTGGGTGCTGTTCCTCAGCTCTTCAGCTCAAGGCTAGCACTCTACCACTTGAGCCACAACGCCACTTCCGGCTTTTTTTTTTCTTCTGCTTATGTGGTGCTGAGGAATTGAACCCAGGGCCTCAAGCATGCAAGGCAAGTGCTCTACCATTGAGCCACCTTCCCAGCCCTTCCTAGCCCTATCTTACCACTTTTGTTAAGGAACAGAGAACAAATATTTTGTTGTTGAGGACTATCCCAAATAATTTGATCATCTCTAAGTTCATTCCCTAATTTCTGCTACCCTTGAAAAACTGTGGAGGTATTAGGGGATGTAAATGAGTTTTGGTGTCTTAGGATTTACCATTTGGAAGTTACACATTTTTTTAACTACAGAGATGGTGAATTTCCATACTATTATAGTAAGAGCAGTCCCCAGACTTAAGAGACCTAGAAAGAAGGTTAAGAATAGGATGATCTTTCTGCATAAAATGTATGTATACTGTATTCAACTGTCAGTATTTTTATGTAAATGAGAGAAACACTAATACAAATTTGGTAGGCAATCAGACGTCTAGTGTCCAATACTCCCTTTTGTTTTTGCTTTTTAAAGTATCTGCTATGGTTTCAATAACTACCTTCTTCCATAACAATTACTTAAGAGCATATAAATGTATATGTATATATGTATGTGTATATATATATATATATACATATATATATATATATTTCATTAGTTTATTGTCCTTCCAGACTTTGTTTCTGTTAGGTGCTTTTTTGAAAGGCATCACAGATTTAATTTCTCCAAGAAAGTATAGTTTTTCTTTCCAAACCCTCTTTTGAATTTCTTGCTTAATTGAAGGTCTATTATAAGCAATTTGTTTTCTCAAGCTAGTTAGACAGTATCCTTTACTTTTCTTTCTAGTAACTTCTGAACAGTTACAGGGTTCTGCCAATCTTGCCTTGAGAAAAACACTACCCCTCATCACCATAAAGCTATGGTAGAGTCATGCCATCTCCCACCTGAACTATTGGCATTGGCTTCTGAGTGTTCTTTCCCGTTTGGTCTCTCCTTTCTTCTATCTATTTTATGTACTGTTACCAATTATTTTTCCAAAATGTAAGTGTAACCATAATAACTTTTTGAAAAGGAACTATTTTCTCCCCCTTGCTTACTGGATAAAATGTAAACTGACATGGCAGATGTCTTTGCAAGCATAAGTCAGTTTTAGTACCCAGCTCTATCTTCCATAGCTTTTTTATAAGCTCTGTGTTCGAACCACACTAACCCAAGTTGTATTCTGTGTATGTGTATATGTGTGTGTGCATGCACAAATGTGTGTATAGTGCTTTTAATTTATTAAGCTATTTCCTCAGAATTGAAAAACTATCATGGGAATCCTCTATCCTTTCATCCCTCCCTAAAACTGTGTCTCTATATTAACTTTATTCATATTATATTTTATTAGTTCTTTCTCCTGTCTAAATTTCGTGAAGATGGGAAGCATATATTTTTAAGTTTTTATTTCTACTTCTACTTTTCTGACTCATACTGTGGCAACCAGACCTAGAATGTAAATATTTGATTTAGATTAAAATAATCATTCATGTCTGCTATGTATATAAACTAGTACTGTCAAAAATTCTCCACTGAATTGTCTTAAACCAGTTCTATTAAACAACATGTAATAGTGTACCGTATAATAAAGCACACATATTTTAAACGTACAGTTTAGTAAATTTTAATACATGGGTATACCTATGCAGTTATTTCTGAAAACAAGACAAAGGTTACTTTCTTCATCTAGAAAGTACCCTTGTGCACCTTGATAGTCAGTCATCAACTCTTAAACCACCTGCACTGGCCTTCTGACATACTAGCTTAGTTTTGTCCTTCTTTTAAAGAATTTAGTAGGGCTGAGAAGGTGGCTCAGTGGTGGAGTACTTGCCTTGCATGCATGAGGCCCTGGGTTCAATCCTCAGCACTACATAAGCGAAAAAGCTGGAAGTGGCGCTGTGGCTCAAGTGGTAGAGCGCTAGCTTTGAGCTGAAGAACTGAGGGACAGTGCCCAGGCCCAGATTTCAAGCCCCATGACCAGCAAAAAAAAAAAAAAAAGAATTTTGTATCAGGAGAATCATATAGTATTTGTTCGTGTCTGGCTCATTTTCTTAATGTTTTTTGAGAATCATTCATGTTGTGTTCATTCCTTTTTATTACTGAATAGTATTCCATTAAATGGATATATTACCATTTACCCATTCTTGGATACTTGGATTGTTGCTAGGTTTTTTGCTATTATGAACAAAAATAAGAACTGAAGTGCATTTATCACTTAGCATATTTTTTTTTTTTGGTCGGTCGTGGGGCTTCTGGGCTTGGGCGCTGTCCCTACACTCTTCAGCTCAAGGCGAGTGCTCTACCACTTGAGCCACAGCGCCACTTTCACTTAGCATATTGTTAAATTTGCTGAATTGCTTTAGCTCTCTGTTAATGTTTTGTTGTTACATAACAGGTTAATAATTAGTCAGATGCTGTTGGCTCATGCAGATAATCCATTCAGGAGGCTGAGATCTGAGGATTGTAGTTCCTAGCCAGCCCAGACAGGAAAGTCTATAAGACTCTTATCTCCATCAGATAATCATCAAGAAACCAGAAGTGAAGCTGTTTCCCAGATGGTAGAATGCTAGCCTTGAACAAAAAAGCACAGAGATAGTGCCCATGTCCAGCACAGGGGAAAAAATTAGTAACCTATTTTATTTACTGGCTTTTTACTACAAGGGTGGGGAACACTTAACCTGATGGCTATACAGGTACACAAAATCATTTGGTCCATGATGAGACAGACATACATGATTTTTATATCCTTTTCATCAGCTGCCTGTGGCTGTCTGCCATTACTGATACATTTTGGGTGGCCACAAATGATGTTATAAATATACAAATGGCCTCTTGGCAGCAAAAATGTACTCCATCCCTATGACATGGAGATTAAAAAAATTAAGTTTATATTCCATTTGTCCTCTGTAACAACTTGACCTTTTGTTGTTGTTGTGGGGCCTGAACTTGGGGCCTGGGTGCTGGTGCTGTCCCTCAGCTCTTCAGCTCAAGGCTAGCATTCTACAATTTGAACCACAGCACCACTTCTGGCCTTCTCTGTTTATGTGGTATTGAGGAATTGAAACCAGGGGCTCATGTATGCACTCTACCACTGAGCCACCTTCCCAGCCCAACAATTTGACCTTATACAGTATATTCCTTTTTTTTCTTATTTTTTTCTTTAATTGTACTGGGTTTAATAGTACTTGCTAGGCAGATACACTACCACTTGAAACACAGTTCTAGCCTTTTTTTTTTTTTTTTTGCCTTAGTTATTTTGGGGATAGGATCTCACATTTATGCTTGGTTGCTAGACTTGTGATCCTTCTGTTTATATTTTCCATCTAGCTGGGATGATAGGTGCATGCTACCACGCCCAGCTTTTAGTTGTGATTGGGTCTTGCTAACTTTAATATTTAGGCTGACCTCAAACCACCAACTTCCTAATCTCTGCCTACCAAGTAGTTTAGATTAGAGGTATAACCAACAGTACCTGGTCAATATATTACTGTGTGTGTATGTGCGTGGGTAGATACATGGGTGGTAATTCTCAGGTGTATATTCAGGACCTTGCATCCTCTAGACAATTGGTCTACCATTTGAGCCATGCCCACCATCCTTTTTGTTTTTAGTTAATTGTTGGATAGGGTCTTGCATTTTTGCCAGGTCCAGCCTTGGACCATGATTTTCTTACCTGTGCCTCCCACGTAGCTGGTATACAGGCTTAAAACATTACACCCAGTTTGTTAATTGAGATAAACTCTTACTAACAATTTCCCGTGGGGCTGGCTTCAAATTACTGTACTCTTAATTTCTGCCTTTTGAGTAGCTGGAATCATGTTTGCTCTACCATATCCAGCTTAAAGTATATTACTAATATCTTCCAATACTGGTTAGCAATTTATCTGTTCTCCTGTTCATGATTAATAATTTTAAGGGTGACCTGTTTTCCTTGGTTCAGCTATAGTGATGGACAAAATAGTATAGAATTACTAGATAATACTGTTTAGGTAAAACAATAAGCAAATGAAATACTATGCGCTTTTATATTACAGCTCATGAGTGAACAGTTCAAGAAAATATAAATGGTTTGAATTATGACTTTGCAAAGAATTGAGTAAATCATCTTGTCTTTTAATCAAGCATTCTTAGAAGTAACTTGAACAGACTAAAGATTGGCAGAGATCTTCAACTAGTTTGGATGTCTAGCAATAATTTTACAAGTCTTTGTGAAAATACACATGATTTTTACAATATGGTCTCTAGTCCAAAATAGATAGTATCAAGGAAAAAAAGAAAAGCAAAACAAAATCCCATATTTGTTTTAATAGTTGTATATTCTTTTACTGTTCCTAGTATGTTTGTTAATTCTTTTTTTAAATTTTTTTCAGAGTGTCAGAATTTAAACAAACCACACCATGCGTGAGTACAAGCTAGTGGTCCTTGGCTCAGGAGGCGTGGGGAAGTCTGCTCTGGTAAGTTATCCACTAACTCATTAGCATTTAATATATAGAATTTTGATTTTTGTCTGCTTCCATGTTTCTAGCACTAAAAGGAAAATGTGGCACTTTTTGTAAACATAGTATCTGATCTATATCTATAAAGACACATCATTCAGTAAATGTGGATAGTTCTATATCTGTTATTCACTTATTCCTTTATTAAATATTACTTATCAAACATCAGTATTCATGTTTCAAAGAGGAAGGTGATTGTTTTCATTTTTAAGGAATTTCACATTCTCATGGGGAAAGTGTTCATTACAGATTCTAACGAAATCATTTTTCTTCTTCCTGCACCACAAATTTGCATGGAATGAAAGTTACTTTTTAAAAATATTTCCTGTGTTGATTTGTTAAATGATTTTGAAGATTCTATTATTGCCAGATTCTGGTGTCACAAGCATAAAAAAAAATAGTCACAGTCTCTCATACCATAAGATGTGGTATGATAACCATGATAGCATGTGGTACACATACAATCAAAGAACCACTTAGTTGTAAATGTGAGAGGAATACGCTGAAAGAAAAACACAAACTGTTAAAAAAAAAAAAAAAAAAAGAGCCTTGTGACAAGTGGACCTAAGTTAGCCTTGAACAGGTGAGAGAAAAGATTGGGATAGCTGAGACAAAGCTAGCTGAGGAAGGATTAGAAGGAAGTGAAAGAACAAAGGACCAAGTCATGACAACCCTATCAGAACCTGAAAGTTATTTCTGATGACAATGAGAAAACATTGAAGGTAGCGGTTAGTGGGGTGGAAGTGGGGGAAATTGGTATGTTTTAGTGAGTGCACTTTTTTTTGACTATTTTGTGTAATTTAAGAGAGAGACAGGGAAAGTGGGAGGATTAGAAGCTAATGATCTAGATTATTGTTCCTGAAAGTAGGTCCCTGAGGAAAAAGAGGAATGTTGTTATTTGAGGATAAAATAGAACGTAGAATTAACTTAGTGATAGATTAGTGGGAGGACCTATAAGAAAGGAATAATTACTTCAAACTTCGTAAGATAATTCAAGTAAATACATCAAGTAAACACATGGATCTTCAAGGTCAGAATTTAAGAGACTTGTGATTATTTTAGGTGACATTAATATATTGGTAGGACTTAATTTCATAATAATGACATTATAAATATAAATTAGTACTTTTATAAGAATGTTTGAAAATATCTATTTTTCAAATATATAACGTCCTTTAATTTTTTGAAAAACTAGCTTACTGCCAGTTTCTTACTGGTAGCTTTTGCCTGTAATCCTAGCTACTCAGGAGGCTGAGATCTGAGAATTAAGGTTTGAAGCCAGCCTACGCAGGAAAGACCATGAGATTCTTAGCTCCAGTCAATCATCAAAACCCAGAAGTAGAGTGTGGCTTGAGCCCTGAGTACAAAAGCTCAGAGACAGCACCCAAGCTCTGAGTTCAAGCCCCAGGACCAGCACCAAAAAAAAAAAAAAAATGGATTTGCATTAGTTGCACAGGGAGAGATTTCATTGTTAAATTTTCAAATTTGTTTTTATCATGTATTCTACTCACTCTCATCCCCTCTGTCACTCTCCCTTCTTGCATCCCAAAATAATTCATCAGGTTACATTGTCCTAATTTCATAGTTGCAAGCTTAGTATTTCTGTGGAATTCAAACCTCTTTTGTACTGCTTTTAAATTTACTGCAACCCCTCAACAGCCTATTTCTCTTATCCCATAGCCCATACTCCAGTTAACCAACAGCTTTCCTTGAGGTTCTTAATGCTGTTTTCGTAGATACTTGCAATGTATTACAAAGTTATTCACACTTTTTCCTTTCTTCCTTCTTCTCGTAAGTAGTCCCTTAAATTTATGTTGCATGTATATCCATATATATAATTATGAATAAATATGCATGTACATTTTTGAGTATATATACATGTATGTTTATGTGTATATAAGTATAGGTCTAGCTTCCACATATTAGTGAACATGTACAATATTTTTTTTTCATTTCCTATGCTTAAGTAGTCTTGCTTCTTCAATTGCGTGTCCAATAACATGTCCTCCATTGTATCTATTTTTATGTAAATGTTATGATTTTCATTTTTCTTTGTGACCATAGTGTTATGTTCACCACATTTTCTTCATCCATTCATCAGCTATAGGCTTCTCAGCTGATTCTATCATTTGGCTATTTGAACAGTGCTGCAATTAGCATAAATACCTGCTGACTTTCTGTATGGTGGAGTCAAAGAAATGTTAGAGGTTCAATTTCAGTATCCTATAGGTGAATAGTTTTTCCAGCACCATTTATTGAAGAAGCTATCTTTTTTCCATTGTATATTTTTTACTCTTTTGTCAAAAACTAGTTGGCTGTAGAATTGTGTTTTTATCTTGGTTCTTTCTATGAATAAATTCTGTTCCGTGGGCATGCTGCCAAAAGCAATGTACAGATGTAATGCATTTCCATCAAAATCCCAGTATCATTCTTCACAGAATTACAGAAATTAATCTAAAGTTTGTATGGAGGCATAAAAGACTCCAAGCAGAAAAGGCAATTCAAAGTAAAAAGAGCACTGTTGATGGTTTCACAATACCAGAGTTTTGAACAATCCTCTGTTATTCTAATGGGATTTCCATTGTAAGTTATTTGTCTCCTCCTTTGTAGCTTTCAATATTCTTTAATCTGCATATTCAGTGTTTTTACTATAATGTGTCTAAGATTGTTTCTTTGATTTTGGAGTTCTATAAGCCTCTACGAAACTGATGACACTCTGGAGGTTAGGGAAGTTTTATGCCATTATTTGGTTGAATAAATTTTGATGACTTTAGTTTTTATTCTGCCTTGTCTTTAATTCATGGATATGATCTGGTAGCATCCAAAAGATCTTGTAAGTCGCTTTTAATATGTTCTGAGTGTATGGGGTTTTTTAATGTCTTTGTTTGATCTAATTTCTCTGCTTTATTCTCGGTCTCTGATACCCTATTTTCAAACTTCTGTTACCTACTTTTTGATTAAGTTTTTCTTCCTCTTCACTCCTTTGTAAGTTTGTCGTTGTGGTGTTACTGGTTTTTACAGGATCTTTGTTTATTCATGAATTTTATGGTCTTCCATTGGGGCTTATGCATCTAGGTCTAGGATTTGCAGTGGTTTTAATCCTCCATATACTTTCTCTTTGTGGCTTCTTGTTACTTTTTTAAGATGGAGTGATGACTGGGTTGATGTATAGATTGGGAAGGTAGGTCTCTGTTTTCAAATAATCAGTTCCAGTGCTCAAGACACCACTGGTACTCCACTTGGTGTGAGGATGCTTGGCTTCAAAGGCTTTTGCAGGTGGTAAATCACAATCTTGTGTTTGTGTTAATTTCTAATGACAGGTTACTGATTCTGCTCTGATCTTTTCATATGAACATAGAACCTAAAGTATACTACTGGAATAACACTAGGTATTTGGGTATATAGGGTGAGAAATGGTGGGAACTAAGCTTTATGGAGATACAGGAGCTGTGGTAGGAGATAGTTTTATGAATTAAGAGTTCTCCTTGTAGATACAAAAAAAAATATAAAAGGAAGGGCTGTGGGAAGGGGCCAGAATGATGATTCAAAAAGAATATTAAAGGTAAGTAATATGGCCAGGTGCCAGTAGCTCATGCCTATAATCCTAGCTACTTAGGAAGCTGGGAACTAAGGATACCGGTTAAAAGCCAAACTGGGCAGGAAAGTTCATGTAATTCTTATCTCCAGTAAAACTACTCAGAAAAAGCTGGAACTGGTGCTGTGGCTCAAGTGGTAGAGTGCTAGCCTTGTGCACAGACAGGCTCAGGGACAGAGCCCAGGCCCTGTGTTCAAGCCCCAAGACCAGCAAAAAAAAAAAAAAGTAATGTGATTTGGATATGATGGTTTCACATAAAAGTAAGGAAGGAGGCAAAATATGATTAAATGTGAGAGAGTAACAAGTCTATGCTAGAATACAGAAGTTAACAGGTAAATATTTTTAAGTAATTTACAGAAGAGAAAAAAAAACCATACAGTTAAAACCAACACTTAAAACATTTGAACCAATATAGGAACAAAGACAAACTATGTACAACAAATAGGAATTTTCAATTGTTCATGTATGTCTACAATTTATATAGATAGAGATAATTTCTGCAGGTTTCAAATGGCTGTTTTAGTAGTAAATGTGAGGGCTTTGCTTTCCCAGAAGACTTTATATGGAGAAAGGGCCTTCACAGTTCAAGCTGTTGGCTAATGGCTAGTGCCTCTATTTGGCTCATCAGGCAATCCCAAGGCAACTTAGTTGTCAGTTGTGGTGCAAATGCCTCTGTCTAATGGTGGGCTCTGCCAGACACATTTGAGCTGCCTTAGCTTGGCAACACATCCCACAGATACACCAAGTTTATGAGATACAGCAACATTTTCCATGTGCTCTTGTTTGCTGGCTTGTTGGGAACTTTACTCCTCAGTCTTCCACCTGTTGAGTTCCTGTACCATCTAGCTTCCCGATGGCAACCTGTCTTCCGACAGTATAATTTTTTTCTGTTCCTTGCCAGCCACTCTTCCCTCTCTTCCCATGCCTCTTCTTCCCTACTTTCTATGGCAAAATGTCCTGTAGATTGTGTCTTGACTCTTGGCTTTCAAAACATCCTTCTCAAGGAGCAACTTTCTGTCATTCTTGGATACAGAAGACACAGAACATCTAAATTACCATAATCCAGTCTCTCTTAGCAGATTAGTCCTCACCTTCCAACTCCTTGAGCTGGCAATAAGATTTGCTGTTTGAAAGTTTTCCCAAAAGCTAAATTTGATAATCTCTCAGTGGGACTTTCTGTTTCCCTGTACCAGCTGGGAGATACTGATAATGGGCTACAAATTCTTTGCCACTTTTCTTGTACATTGATTCTCTTTGTGATTTTTCTGGGTCCTGTGAACTGCTTGTAGCTTCTCCTTTCCTCTCTTCTTTGTCTCCCTAAACTCAGTGTGTGTGAGTTCTGGTCCTAGGGCTTAAACTTGGCCTGGCACTTTCCCTGAGCTTTTTTTGTTCAAGGATAGAGCTCTACCACTTGAGCCGTTACTATACTTCCAGCTTTTTGGTGGTGAATTGGAGATAAGAGTTTTATGGACATAAGTTCATATGTGCACAATATCAGTCACTCTCAAAGATACATTTTTTTACATTTTTTACAGTGACAAATTTTTCAAAATGTAATGCCTACCAGTAGCAGTTACAGAATTTTGACACATAGAGTAGAATACTATAAAAGCCACTAACCTGTGCACAAGAACTCTATATAAACTTAATATAATAACATTCAAGATGTATCATTTAGAGAACATATAAGGAAGTTACTAAATAGTGTAGAATATCTTTTGTGCTTTATTGTTGTTTTGTAAAGGAAGAGATTTGAGGAGAAATGCTTAAAAAATAAAAGATTGTTTCTGCAAAGTTACGTAAACAACAGCTAACATCAATTGGGCATAGGATTGAGTAGCTAGGAACAAGGGTTGTAAGTTAGATAAAGTTGTAAAAATTCTTAAGAATGGAGGTTATCTAAAGAAAAGAATGACAGGAGAGTCCACAGCTGAGCTCCATATGTGTTAAAAATAGATAGATAGATTAGATAGATAGATAGATAGATAGATAGATAGATAGATAGATAGATAGATAGATAGATAGATAGATAGATAGATAGATAGATAGATAGATAGATAGATAGATAGATAGATAGATAGATAGATAGATAGATAGATAGATAGATAGATAGATAGATAGATAGATAGATAGATAGATAGATAGATAGATAAGATTGAGCCTGGCATCTGTGACTCACAGTGCCTGTAATTGTAGCTACTCAGGAGGCTGAGATCTGATGATTGCAGCTTGAAGCCAGCCTGTGCAGGAAAGTCTCTTGAGACTCTTGTGTGCATTAGCCAACAAAAAAGCCCAGGGAGCTGTGGACCAAGTGGTAAGCTCTAGCATTGAGCAAAATTACTCAGGGACAGTGCCCAGGCCCTGAGTTTAAGCTCCAGGATCAGCACCCCAAAAAAAAGAGTATTTAAGGATTCATCATAGAAGAATGTTATCTTACGCTAAATCCAAAATGTTAGGTGATACGACAAAACTAACAGGACTTAAGAAACAAAGAACTCCCACTCATCTGGTTGAACCACTACTAAATATCCCCATGCTGCTGATCACATATATGGTATATAACATGTGAACACCGTTATATGTTACAGACTGTGATAGACAATTTGCTCCAGGAAAGTTAGAATGAACTTGTGACTTTAAATGAGCATCATTATTCCACAATACTGTGAAATTCCAGAAATTATGTAATCACTTAATCACAATAAAAAAAAAAGAACCTCAGGGAAGGGAGGGAGGGAGGGGATGGTAGGGGGAAAACAATGGAGGGGGTAACAATGTTCAAGAGGAAGTGTACTCATTACCTCACTCATGTAACTGTAACCCTCTGTATAGTATCTTTTCAATAAAAAAAAAAGAATTATCTTATACTTCGCTTAAATATACAGAATATTATCTACTTGTCTTCTTGGAAGTTAGGTATAAGAGAGGAAAGAAACAGGTTAATGGGCCTGATTTTATTTTTAAGGTATAATAAGATTAAGCATAGTGACTCATTAAAAGTATTTGATTATTTTTCCTTTCATTTTGTCAAGAATGTTTACCTTTTTATTTAAAGAAAATACTTTTCAGTTTCACATCACAACCCTTAAACTTTGGTTTTACTAAGTAAAGTAAGGAATGCTTGAATACAAGCACTACAATACTTCAATAGTTGCTACAAAATGATTAATAGCTTAGGGATAGTATATACAGCATGGATACATAGGACATAGGAATGATTCATGTCCTATGTGGAAAAGAGCCAGATGGCATGAGCTTTCATCATTGTATTTGGAATGTAAGTATAAAACTTATGAATTATGGGCTGGGAAGGTGACTCAGTGGTAGAGCGCTTGCCTTGCATGCATGAGGCCCTGGGTTCAATTCCTCAGCACCACATAAGCAGAAAAAGCTGGAAGTGGTGCTGTGGCTCAAGTAGTCGAGTGCTAGCCTTGAGCTGAAGAGCTGAGGGACAGTGCTCAGGCCCCAGAAGTTCAGGCCCCATGACCGACAAAAAAAAAAAACCAAAACTTAGGAATTATTTATTTCTAGAGTTTTCCATTTAATGTTACTGGATTATAGTGGACTAAGTACATGAAACTATGGAAAACTTTAAACTTTTACTTCATCTTTTGCTCATTGGCTGGCATTCTGCAACTTGAGCCTCACTTGCAATTCCCCTTGATTTCTTCTTTTGGTAGCCAGGATTAAACTTACTATAGAGAGCTAAAATAATATATTACTTAACAGTGTAATAGCAACAGCCATATTGATGACAGTTTTTCAAACATAAGAATCTTTTTGTAATAAGTATTCTTATATGTGTATTTGTATTAGAAATTAATAATGATACTTCATGTGTTACCCAGAATTTTAACATAATTTTTATTTAATCTTTACAACTTTTGTGAGGTTAGGCAACATTCCAGGTTTGATTTTTCTTTCAAATCTTTAACTTTTCTCTTTCTCTTTTGTTTTGTTTTGTTTATTTTCCTCCCAGACAGTTCAATTTGTTCAGGGAATTTTCGTTGAAAAATATGACCCGACGATAGAAGATTCCTACAGAAAGGTAAAATTTAAACTATGTACATACATACTTAGAAATAGTTCATTGTGGCTTTAAAACTTGATCCATAGAATTACATCTTTAAAATATTTTTTTTTTTTTTTTTTTTTTTTTTTTTTTTTTTTTTGTCGGTCGTGGGGCTTGAACTCTGGGCCTGGGCACTGTCCTTCAGCTCTTCAGCTCAAGGCGAGTGCTCTACCACTTGAGCTACAGCGCCACTTCCGGTTTTCTGGTGGTTTATTGGAGATAGGAGTCTCACGGTCTCTCCTGCCCGGGCTGGCTTTGAACCGCGATCCTCAGATCTCAGCCTCCTGAGTAGCTAGGATTACAGGCGTGAGCCACCAGCGCCCGGCTACATCTTTAAAATATTTTAAGAAAAATATTTCAAGAAAGCCAAGTGCCAGTAGTGACTCATGCTTGGAATCCTAGCTACTTGGGAGGCTGAGATCTGAGGATTGCGGTTCAAAGCCAGCCCTGGCAGGGACATCCATGAGACTCTATCTCCAATTAGCTACCAAAAAATCTGGTGTGGCTTAAGTGGTAAAGCACTAGCTCAGGGAGAGCACCTAGGCCAGGTAGGTAGGTAGGTAGGTAGGTAGGTAGATAGATAGAGAGATAGAGAGATAGATAGATAGATAGATAGATAGATAGATAGATAGATAGATAGATAGATAGATAGATAGATAGATAGATAGATAGGTAGGTAGGTAGGTAGGTAGGTAGGTAGGTAGGTAGATAGATATAAATTTTTTTAAAGAAATGGTATAAGTGTTTGGTATCTACTTTTAGAAGTTTCACCAGCTACTGCTTACATGTAGAGAGCTCTATGTTCTATTGATTATTTGTTCTTTTTTTTTTTGGTTGGTCATGGGGCTTGAGCTCTTCAGCTCATGGCAAGTGCTGTACCTTGAGCCACAGCGCGACTTCTGATTTTCTGGTGGTTTATTGAAGATAAGAGTCTCACACTTTTACCTGCCCAAGCTGGCTTTGAACTGTGATCCTCAGATCTCAGCCTTCTGAGTAGCTAGGATTACAGACGTGAGCCACCAGTACCTGGTGATTATTTGTTCTTTAATGGATACTTTTTAAAAAGTACCCTTTTTTTTTTTTTCTTGCCAGACCTGGGACCTCCCAGTACCTAAACTAAAATTTTTCATGATTTTGTTTTACAAGTACATTTGGAGAGTGGGCACTATAAAAGAATAGCAGTTGAAATTATCCCACTGAACCCCCCCCCCAAAAAAAAATAATTTACTTTCAACAGATAGGAAAGGATTACATTGTTAAATAATCTGCTTTTAGAATTTATCTTTAGTAGTCGTATACCTTCAGTTAAGTTCATCAAGATGTAAGCTGGAGGCATGGCTCAGGTGGTAGAGCTCTTGTCCAGTTCAAAGTCCAGAGTTCAAACTCCAGAACCTAAATCAGTCCATCAATTACTCAGTCAGTCAAGTCAGTATACCGGCAGAGCAGTTTTGCTATTCAAAATATAGTTGTGCTCTAGATACATGTGAAACTACAGACCTGGCTCAGTATTTCCTTTACATCCTCTATGACAGTTTTACAGGTAAACCACATTGCCCCACATCTGGTGGGATGTTGACTTTGTAGCACCACCAAGTGCTTCTTATCAGTCTCTGTCTTGACACAGAGGCAGAGGTGTAACAGCTTGACAGTTAAAACATTTACTTTTAGATGACTTTTTTACTGAAATTTCCCCAAAATAAATTTATAATTACATCTTTAGCCACAAAGCAAGGTCTCTTTATAGAATGCTGAAGGACTTTATTAATTTCTTCTTTATTAAGTTTATCACATAGTTGATAATTGATACTCTTTATGCCAGCTTTCTCTTCTTTTATAAACAGTGGGAAAATGGAATTCATTATACTCAGTTTCACCTTTACACAGTTTTTCTAAAGTCTTTGTTTGTTTGTTTGTTTGTTTGGGTCTGGTCGTGGGGCCTGAACTCTGGGCCTGGGCGCTGTCCCACAGCTCTTAAGCTCAAGGCTAGCGCTCTACCACTTGAGCCACAGCGCCACTTCGGCTTTTTTCTTTTTGCTTATGTGGTGCTGAGGAATTGAACCCAGGGCCTCATGCATGCAAGGCAAGCGCTCTACCACTGAGCCACCTTCCCAGCCCTGGTGCAGAAAAAGCTGGAAGTGGTGCTGTGGCTCAAGTGGTAGAGCCTTAGCCTTTAGCTGAAGAGCTGAGGGACAGTGCCCAGGCCCAGAATTCAGGCACCATGACTGGCAAAAAAAAATAAATAAAAATTTGAATTTGTACAACTTCCAATCTATAATAAATTGGCAAAAATTTCTTTTCCCTAAAATTTTTTTGCATGCACTTTAAGCCACCTAATACTTTGTACTTCATTTTCTGTGAAAATTACAGAAATACAGTATGCATGAGTACATGGTCTGAACACCTCTGATAAGAAAAATCATACATGTTTAGGATGGATAGAATTCAGCACTGCACTGTAGATGCTTGATAGAGCTTTCTCCAACTTCTGCTAGTGACATTGCTTTTCTTTTCAGTGTTGGTATTGGATTTTGAACCACAGACCTTGTGCTTGCTAAACAAGGGCTCTGCCACTGGAGCCACATCTCTAATCCACTATTTGCTTTGAGGGAGGCAGATTTTCCCAAAATTAAGGGCAGAGAGACAGCAGGTCACACAGTGATTTAAACACAGTTGGTGATAATGCAGGGCAAAGAGTGTCTCCACATAAATGGAGCTGTGAAATGAGTGACTAAGAATTTGTTTTTCCTTTTTAAATTTCTTTTGATTTTTTTTAAATTTGTTTTTTTTTACTACACTCAGTCAAAACTGTGTGTAATAAACTCACAAATAAGATGAGATTACTGTATCATACAATATTTTCTTTTGTTAGAATCATATCTGTTTTCAGTTTTTCTTAAATTCCAAAATACATCCATTTCTCTTCTAATAAGAACAAATAAGAGAATATCTACATTCAACATTAACCATCCTGGCTTCTTTAATATTTAGGCAAATGTACTTAAAGACTCTTGTTATTTATTGTGGCATCAAGTTTAGTCTTCATTAACATAGCAAACTTTGAACTGAAGGACTATTTCTTAGTAGTTTTGGATGAAAACATGTAAAGAAAGTGACATGCTGATGTTAATCCCCTCCCCCCTTTTTTCCTTTTCTTTTTACCCCCTCAGCAAGTTGAAGTAGATTGCCAACAGTGCATGCTGGAAATCCTGGATACAGCAGGAACAGTAAGTTATTTTGTCTCATTTTTTTTTATATATTTTAACTTTTAAGTAGGTTTTATCTGAATAATTCTATGTAGAAGCACTTATCCTCACTAAAAAAAAAAAAACCTGGAAGTGGCGCTGTGGCTCAAAGCGGTAGTGCTCGCCTTGAGCTGAAGAACTGAGGGACAGCGCCCAAGCCCAGAGTTCAAGCCCCATGACTGGAAAAATAAATAAATAAATAAAAAATTTTTTAAAATTAAAAAATTCCTTTCGTGTAGGACTTCTTAAATTTTCCTAGGTATATTTAAATTTTCTTAATAAGTACTTAATGCCCATGTATCATGAGTCAGTTATATACTCATTTTACCTTCAGAATCTATTTTGTCTTTCTTCTCCTTGTATTAAATAATGTGCCTAAAACAAAAACAAAAGTTATTTTAAATTCAGAATTTTAATTAAGACAAGTATTTCTCTCTCCGGGCCTATTCTCTGAGTAGTTAACTGATTCAGTGAATCCAGCCTCTCCTATAGCTTTTCAGACACTATACATGTTTCCTCTCAGGGTCAAGCATTTTCTATTCCCATTTGCCTGCAATACTTTTCCTCCACATACCCACAGAGCTTACTTCCTCACCTTCCTAATACCTTCCTGTGAGCCTTCCTCTTTAAAATAATAATTTCTGTTCTTGCCCTCAAAAGAAACTTGCTGTCCTCTTTCCCTTTAGTTTTCTCTGTAATATTTATTACCATCTTTATTTATCTTTGTGTGTCTTCTCTATTCATCCAGATACTTTAGCAGCTTACTTTTACCAACGTATAACTAGTGCTGCAACCATGTCTGGTTAGTAGAGAGCACTATGAATAATCTTCAACTTTAATCTGGCAAAATGTCCTTAGAAAAGAGGTTGTGATTCTCAGCAGGAGGTAATACCCATCATAGCATTTCCGTAAGAGGCCTGGCTGTTCTTAGATTAGATTTTAAAACTGATTGGCTATATGTATTTACTCTGATAATAAGTAACAGAAACCATGATCTCAGGAGAATGTGGTAAGAGTAGTAGAGCTAGAATTTCTAACAGCTTATAAATGAAAAACCCAGTGAAACCCAGATTTTTACATCTTTCCCAGAAAAACCCTGGTATCATCATAGTATCATCATAGAAAGTTCATCTATAGTTCTAGACACACCAAAGCCAGGATTTAAGGCTAAGAAAATGATTAAGTAGTAACCTAGCTGCCTACTTGAAATACAAATTGAGTGCATCGACCAGGTGGAAGAAGTAGAAATATTTTCAAGTGTGGCATACAGAATATAGGTAGTGATGGTGGGAGAGAGCAAACCAAAAACACAAAATACCTCATAAGCTTTATGGTCTTCAGTTTTACATTTAATGCTTCCAAAGATGAGAAGATTGAATATGTGTAACTAAAAAGAACCAAGATGTGCATTTTTAATATTCTGCTATATGTGCCTTGTTAATACTACATATAAAAACCAATTCTATTGCATATTAATGTCTACTTATATGTTTTAACTATACAGTTACATTATCATTATCAAATAAGAGTTGAGTTTAAAATCAAAATAGAAGTAATTTTTACAAAGTATGACTATGGGGGCTGGGAAGGTGGCTCAGTGGTAGAGTGCTTGCCTTGTATGCATGAGGCTCTGGGTTCGATTGCTTAGTACCACATAAGCAAAAAGAAGAAAGCTTGAAGTGGCGCTGTGGCTCAAGTGGTAGAGCGCTAGCCTTGAGCTGAAGAACTGAGGGACAGCGCCCAGGCCCAGAGTTCAGGTCCCATGACCGGACCCAAAGTATGACTACGTAGCACAGAGACTAAATGTCAATGATTAGTGAACTATTAGGAGATGATAGTTGTTTTTCTCATATCTTTTCCAAAGGTTTGAAATGGAGGGATAAAAATACATGAACAAGCTCTTATAAAAAGTGTTAGTATTAGGACTGAGGCTGTAGCTCTGTTGTAAAATCTTTCCCTAGCATGCACAAGGGGTAAGTTTGATCCTTAGCATGTAATAATAATAATACTAATGATAATAATAATAATAGTTGTAGTCAGGATGATTGAATTTTCCAGGAGAGATATTTGAGACTGTCTGTGCTGGATGATTAGGTTATAATTCAAAATGTTTCCGTTTGAGCAGCAGTTACGTTATAAATCATCCAAAAAATTAATTAGGATCTGTATATAAAAAGGAAATTACATTGAGATGTACATACAAAAGAAAATTGAGATACTTCGGTATTCCTTCTAATTCTACACTTTGTTATCATTGTTTCTAATCATGCAAATGTAAACATGAACATTCACTTTATTAATGTTTTACATTTTCTGACATGATTGTTTTTAAAAAAGCTATAGAGAACCTCACTTGTGATTATTCTGTTTAAAATTATTCCAGTATACAGTCAAAATGTATATATTTATAAATTACTTCTTTTTTATTATAGGAGCAATTTACAGCAATGAGAGATTTGTATATGAAGAATGGCCAAGGGTTTGCACTAGTATATTCTATTACAGCTCAGTCCACATTTAATGACTTACAGGACTTGAGGGAACAGATTTTACGAGTTAAAGACACAGAAGATGTAAGTATTTTTCCCTCTAAAGCATAATGCCGTCTCTCTGTGGCCCAATTTTTTTTTAAAAAGCTGCTTTTTTATCAGTAGAGGATATGAAAGATATCTCCTACACTCCCAAAAGAACTTCTGTGACACAATGTATTTTAACTTTCAAAACTAACCTACAGATTATATGCCGAGATGTTTAGAAAATGAAGACATGTGGCACTCATTATGGCAGAGAAAGAACAGGAGTCCTTCAAAGAAGAAGTAGAACTCTAGTTAAGCTTTGTCAAATTGGAAAAATATTCAAATAATTCAGGACCCATAATGTTATGATCTTATTTTTTAAATTATACTGGTATAGCATTTATTTACATGCAGTTTTTCCTTTTAATTGTGTTAAAGATTTTAACTAACTGGATTAAATTTTTTTTTAATTTTGCTTTAGAAGTTTTGCCATTTTTTGTTGTTGTTCCAGTATTGGGGCTTACACTTAGGGCCGGGGAGCTGTTTTTTATTCAAGACAAGAGCTCTATCACTTGGCCATACCTTCACTTCAGCTTTGTGCTTCTTAATTAGAGATGAGTGTCTCCTGGACTGGGTTGGCTTCTAATTGAAGTCCTCAGATCTCAGCCTCTTAAGTAGCTAGGATTACAGGTATGAGCCACTGACATTTGGATTGGTTGCTCTTTTTAAGGCAGGATATTGCTGTGTAGCCCAGGCTGGCATCATCCCCTCGATGGTCTTGCCTCTATCTCCTAAGTGATGGGATTACAGATGAGTGACCACCCTAGAGATCTTAATTGATAATTGAATTTAGCTGATGGGGGAAGTGTATCTTTTCCTCATCTTTGTAGAAAAACAATGTATATTTTATACTACATCTGAGGCTTTTCAGTTGTATAAATTAGGATAGACATTTTCAATTTCACTTTTCTGTTTTGGTATGTTCTCTAATTATTAAGGGGTGCATGCATCTGTTTAGGATTTTAATCTTTATAGTATTGTATGTAGGAAGAATTTGTACCATATGACTCAAGACTACCCATAACCTAGTGAATAGTTTTCTTCTTTCTCATGACTAATTTTTCTGAGAGAATTCTGTTTATATAGGCAGTTAGACCACTGAGCCCTGATAATGTTAAACCCTTTTATCTCATGTAATAAAGGAAAAAAAGTTAGGCTGGTGCTAGGCTGGCTCCAGTTTATAATCCTAGTTGCTCAGGAAGCTGAAATCTGAGGATCACAGTTCCAATCCAGCCTATGCAGAAAAGTACATGAGACTTTTATCTCCAATTAACCACCAAAAGCCAGAAATGGAGTTGTGAAAAAAAAAAGCAAAAAAGTTCCTTGAGTTCAAGCCCTAGGACAAGCACTAAACAAGCAAAAAAATAAATAAATGGAAAACATTGTTGTAAAATGTTTACTATCTCTTAAATTCTTTTTTTTAATAGTGTCCATCATCTCCCAAACAAAGGACTTTGTTCTCTGAACACATGTTAACTGATAAAGTTAATACAATACAGTTTCTTAACTACCTGTTTTACAGAAGTCAGGAGTATATAGTCAAGATACAGCCAAGCACATGTGACATGGAGAAAAAGGAAAAAAACATACCTGTTTTGTGGCTTCATTTTTATTTTTAATCTTCCTTTACTATTTCACCTTCACTATTTCACTTTAAAATTATTTAGGTGAAATAGTAAAGGAAGATTAAAAGATTCTCCTGTACAAGTAGAGCTAGTATACTGTGTTGGTCTTGTCATCCTTTGAGGTGTTTATTACACTGTGAGATAAACCACTTAGTCCCAGTGAGTACACTTTTTTTTCTTTTTCTTTTTTTTTTTTGGTCGGTCTTGGGGCTTGAACTCTGGGTCTGGGCACTGTCCCTGCACTCTTCAGCTAAAGGCGAGTGCTGTACCTCAAGCCACAGTGCCACTTCCGGTTTTCTAGTGGTTTATTAGAGATCAGAGTCTCACAGACTTTTCTGCCTGGGCTGGCTTTGAACCGTGGTCCTCAGATCTCACCTCCTGAGTAGCTAGGGTCACAGGCGTGAGCCACCGGCGCCCGGTAAGTACATTTTTTTTTATGTTGTAGGAGATTCCTTTTCTTTCAAATCTTTCTACTTGGAATCTACTGGGTATTTGTAGTAGTCTGTCTGAGAAATTTAGGATTATGCTCTTAAAACAATTTGACATATGAATCTGGTAGGGTCTCTTTCATAATGGTTTTGTGTTTTTTTTTTTTTCATCTTCTCTCTAACCCTACACCCAGACAGTTTTTTAAATGTTGGTAAAGTTTATAGTGTGACTAATTTCAGTTGGTAGTAGTAATTCTTTATTGAGACTAAGTAATTGAGTATGTTATAGTTCATTTTACATTTTTTGTTATTGTTGTTTTTTTACTTCCCACAGGTCCCAATGATTTTGGTTGGCAATAAATGTGATCTGGAAGATGAGCGAGTAGTTGGCAAAGAACAGGGCCAGAATTTAGCAAGACAGTGGTGTAACTGTGCCTTTTTAGAATCTTCTGCAAAGTCAAAGATCAATGTTAATGAGGTAACCTACAACTGCAGGGGGCACAATTTGGATTTTCTTGGAAATAACATCCAGAATTTTTAAGAAAACATTTGTAACTGTTATTCAATTGTTTATTAATAGATTGTAAAATCAAGTAGGAAAATACAAAAATTAGTCACTTTTATAGTAAACCTTTGTTGTCTAAAACTTGAACATCACAGAATTTGGCGTTCTGAGTTATGCCTCACTTTTGCTGTTGCATGCTGAAAAGTTTAGTTAAAACTCAGTCCTCTAGGTTTGATAAGCCAGGTACACAAGGTTTTTTTTTTGTTTTGTTTTTTTGTTTTTTTTGCTTTAAATCAAGCACTCTGTCTTGAGAACCTAACTGACTGGAGAGCTTATGTAAGCTGCATATCTGTATGTAAAGGGCCAATAGTTTGTTGATCCCTAAAAAATTAGTACAATTCCTAATTGCCCCAACCAATCAGTCAACCTGAGATTCCTTGGCTTTTACTAACTTTACCAGAAGCCTGTAAGAAACAACAATAATAACAACAGAGTGAGCCTTTTTTCCTTTCCCTTGTCTGTGTGCTTGCCATTGGTATTATCACAAGTACTCAGAATTTAGGCCACCTAAAACACAGATTTAGAGTAAGTGCATTAGTATTCAGAGCCTGTGATTTTGCTTGGGGTTTCTCTCTGACCTCTGGTTCTATAAGTTACCTTTTCTTGGCTGATATGTGCTTATAAACTATTATCTATGTCTCCGTCTTAAAATGTCTAAACTACTTTACACATCTGGCAGAAAATAATTCATGGATGCCAAAATTTTTTTAGATGAAATCGTTTTAGTAAGTACATTAAAACAAGGAATCCATTAATTACATTTATTTAGCAAATATTTGTTGAGTATCTTCTGTATGTCTGGCACTTTTTTAGGTGCCCTGGTAACATTCATCTGGGCAGGTGTTCCCACTCCTAAGTTTACATCTCATTAGGGGAACAAGTCCTGCTGAGATCTTCTACAACAATTATTTCTTATTTCATTGTCAAGTAAATGAAAGGAAACATATTCATCTAGCTTCAACTTTTTCTATTGAAGTATTAGTTTCCCAAAGGCTGTTTGGAAAAATGTGACTATGATAAAATTTTGTTAGTAGTCCTTTTTATATTTTATAATTAACTTTGATAAAAAGGATATGTTATAATTGGTGGATGCATTTGACTAATACAGCAGTGGTGCTTAGTCACTTTCTGTACCATGGTTGGCCTTAGGGATCTGACTTCTTACTGTTTCTGTCTTTACCACTGAGCTCATTTGGTCAGCTGGTTATAACTTGGGACAGAGCCTAGTGGAGAGGAACTGTTCCTTGCCTTTTATCATTATATGTTTATGGGAGCCTATGACGCCTCCTTTGGGTTGCAGTTTCCAATGTAGCAGAATGACTTCTTAGACTCTACCTTTGGTAAGAAGGTTTATAACAACATGAAATGGCATTGGCCATTTTAAGAAGTTTAACTTTTTTGGAGCCAGATGCTAGTGGCTCACACTTGTAATCCTAGCTACTTAGAAGACTGAGATCTGAGAATTGCATTTCAGAGCCAGCTGGGACAGACAAATCCAAGAGACTCTTACCTCCAGTTAGCCAGCAAAAAGCCAGAAGTGGAGGTTTGGCTTAAGTAGTAGAGCACCAGCCATGAGTAAAAAAGCTGCATAGGAACATGATGCCCCGAGTTCAAGCCCTGCTATATATATATACACACATACACCTTACCTTTTTGAGAAACATGGATTTCATGCTAGAATTTCTTGGGTATAATTTGAGGGTCTTTTGATGTTGTAGTTATTTTAAATCTAATGGCCTAATAATCCATTACAGGATTTCTTTGATAGCAGTTGCTCAGAGAGCTTAAGCTATCTTGTAAATGTTCGTGTGATTTGCAAATGCCCAAAGATAGAGGGAAAATTCTTTTAGTCTTCTCAACTTTGGATTCAACTTTCAGCCTCAAATTAGAAAATAGACAAGGCACATTGCTTGTCCAGAGTCCTCTAATTCTCTGATTGTATTTTTTCTTTAATTCTTATATGTGACTTTTGCTATGTTTTACAAGTAGCATATAGCTGTACCAGAATCACATCCATCCTACTCAATAATTAATTGTTCTTTACTGAGGCTGGAATAATAATTGGAATCAAGTCATCCCAAATTAGGAATGGGAGAGGGATTGAGAAACTCTATTCTGTGTTCCCTTTAGATTTTTCTATAGTTCAGAGAGATGAGGAAGAACCTAGGCTGGGGACTTTCAGCATTTCTAACCAAATATTATAGTTCGAACTTGCCCTCATCACTGAACCATCTGCTGCTGTGAGGTAGGCAATATTTTCCAAAGAAATAATTTAGATTATTACGAAAATCAGTTACGTCCTGTCTAATATGTGCCAGAAACTGGAAAGTGGCATGAAGAAACTGAAATCATAACTATGTATGTGCTTGATGAGTGAACTGTCCTGGTTTATCTTTTTATTATTTTTCATGTTATAGTTCACACATTGAGCCTCCAGAACTAATGAAAGTTCATAGGTAGCATATACACATTAAGTTCTTGAAGGCTTCAGAGTTGTGACACAACTTGGACTTGGGAGTTGTTAAAACAGCTACATTTTATTAATTAATTTTGTGCTTTCAAATTATTTTTAGAAATGAGATGAGAGAGTTAAGTAGTTTCAAGAAGATAAGAATCAGAGGATTAGGCCTCATGAGTGAGTTATTTAGAGCTTTAGGATAAATTAGTTCTCTTTTTTTTTTCCTTTATAACAATTTAGTCTTGAAATCTTTAGGCCACTAAAAACTAAAGAAATTATCACCATCTTTACATGTAATTTGCTTACTGTCTTAAAGAAATGTAAGCCAATAGCTTACATTTACATTTAGCTATTTTACTTTTTAAATTCACTCAAAAGATCAATAAATAAAATCTGTTTAACTCTTTAACCATATTCACCAGTTATTAATATTTTGCCATATATTTGCAAAAATCACATTACTCCTAAATATATGTATCCTTGAATCAAAGACATCCTCCAAGAAAACCGTAAGTATTAAAGTTAGGAAAATTGGGCTAAAGGTGTAGCTCACTGATTGATTCACATTGCCTGGCATATATGAGATCCTGAGTTTTGTTCCCAGCATGGCAGAGTAGTGACAAGAAAAAAATTAGGAAAGTTGACTTGATTCATGTTTAATATATATTTAAAACTTGCTTATATGTCCCTATAGTAATAGTCCTTTTTTTAAAATCCAGCTTTGCAAAGTACTGTTTATTCCACAAGTAGCAGTAAAGGACTTCTATAATAATTGTTCTATTCCACATCATTAGTGAGTGAGTGCATTCATAGCAAAGAACCAAATTCAGTTGACCCTAGTTCATATTTTAACCCTTTGGCATACTTGGCAGTATGAAACTGTACAAGCACATCAGAATTAAAATAACTTGTTTTTGGGGCTAGAGGCCAGTGGCTTACCCCTGTAATCCTGGCTACACAGGAAGCTGAGATCTGAGCATCATGTTTTAAACTAGCATGGGCAGAAAGGTCGAAGATTCTTACCTCCAATTAGCCAGAGATAAAGCCAAAAGTGGAGCTGTGGCTCAAGTGGTAGAATACCAACCCTGAGCAAAAAAGCTAAGGGTAGTACCCAAGCCCTGGTTTCAAGCCTCAGTACTCACACAAAAATAAACATGTTTGTGATATGCATACAGTTGTGTTTTGTCTTTGGTTCTTTGTACTTTTCATCCAAAAGTAAGTCCACAAGGTTTATTAGCATATTACTTGTCTCAATTCACAGTAATTTTACTTAAAGCAAAATTAATATAACCAAAAAGGAGAAAATACCTTTTGCCTTTCTCTGTGTGACACTTGTAAGAAGAACATGCTAATTCTTTTATATTCTTCATATATAAACATAGAACCTGAATCTAAATGTGAAACAAACTCAAATGAAGGGAAAATCTGTAACTCTGCTAGCATTTATTCCTCAGAAATGACAATGCCCTGAAAGACATAATCTAAGAAACTGTTTCCTATTTTAAAAAGACTAAAATCTTTAAGAAGAAAATGCAGTATGTTATTCTGTTATTGTGTCCCTAGAGGGGAATCTTTTTAGCACAGTTTTAGGATAGTTTACAAAACTGAATTCACACGAGAGATAATACAAGGTAATATATCAGTGGTTATATATCAGTGGTTAAGTATCTTGAGTGAGAGAACTAAACTGAGGTCACATAAGAGAATATCCTTGTTCTTGGAAATACACACTGGACTACTAAGGGACCTGTGATATGTATACCACTCTCACACAGTTCCAAAAATAAATGTGTATATAGTAAGAGATAAATAGTAAACATGGCAAAATATTACTGATTGGTGGATCTAGGGAGACTATACAAAGTTATTTGGTACTATTGTAGCTTTGGTACTTTTGTAACTTTTATGTAATTTTAAGTTTTTACTGCCTCTTTTTTGGGGGGAGGGGAGAGTGGGAATGGAGTACTGGGGATTGAACCCAGGACGTTGCATTTGTGAGTCAAACGCTTTGCCACTGAGCTATATCCCAGCCCTCACTACCTCATTTTTCACTACTGATTCTGTTTTCAATTTACATTGAATGTCTAAGAGCACGCATATTCCTTCTTTATGAGTTAGTTAACTCCTGCTTTATTTACTCTGTGAGTTAGCAAGGGCTTCTACAAAATCTGACAGCAAAACATAAACCTCAAAGCAGACTAATATTTAATAGAACCAAAATTGTTTTGTAAACAAGGTCTCAGATAATTGTTAAGTAAGTATTTTCTTCTTTTTACTTAGATATTTTATGATCTGGTCAGACAGATAAATAGGAAAACACCAGTGGAAAAGAAGAAGCCTAAAAAGAAATCATGTCTGCTGCTCTAGACCTGAAGCCAGCAGCAGCTCTGAGCCAGGTAAGATACCAAAAGCCGAACAGATGCCTTTTTCATCATCTTTTTTTCCTGTTCTTCATTTTATCTATTGTGGCTATATCTGTAGCTTGTACAGAAATACACTTTCAGAGATACATTCATCTGTTTTAATTATTTACCTCTTTCTCATGGGATTCTAAGCTCTGTGAGGATGAGGATTATATCTGATTTTCATACTACAGAGTCTTGGCACTTATGACAGAGTATTCAAAAAACAGAGCTAGTGAGTGAAGGAATAGTTCAGTGTGGTAAAGCACTTAACCTAGCATGTGCAGGGTCCTGAGTTTGGTACCAAGTACTTAAAAAAAAAATAGAAGGTGCTGTCATAAATTAGAGTGCCTTCCTAGATGATTGCCAAACTTATGCTGAATTAAAACAGTAGTTTCTTTGAAAGAAAAAAAGTGCATATTTAATCCATTATCTCAAAGTGAGCACCCTATTTATGAATAGTGCTCACTTCTCCCTAAATGTTCTAATGTCATGAATTAGTTTGCCCCTCTTTGAACTTAACATAAACAAAGCCCTGCAATGTATTATTTTATAGCTTCTTTCATTCAAAAGTATGTTTTGAATATTGTATGTGACAAGTTCATTTTTATTCTCTGATAACAAATCATTTTGTATCACTATTGAGACTATTAAAAGACATCTATGTTCCTTTTTTTTTTTTTTTTTTTTTGAGCCTGGGTGCTGTCCCTCAGCTCTTCAGTTCAAGGCTAGCACTCTACCACTTCAGCCACAGTGGCCACTTCTGGTTTTTTTCTTTTTGCTTATGTGGTGCTGAGGAATTGAACCCAGGGCCTCATGCATGCAAGGCAAGCACTCTTATCACTGAGCCAACTTCCCAGCCTCTATGTTCTTTTGGGGAATTAGTATGTATAATTTTGTACATGTTTTGTAAATGGCTTTGTATTTAGATACATGCATTTCTGTTGGCTACATGTATAGGCCAGCTCACTGGTACAATCACTCTGAAAGGCTTTTTAGTAGTGTCCACATACACCAACAGTTTGAGTTCATATCCTCCCCAAAATTTGTACTATCAACCTTCCTTACTTGAATCTCTCTTTTTTAAACTTATATTTGCATATTATTATAGTTTTGGTACCTTGGTATGGGTTAATTACTTCTTAGTAAATATTTCATCTCCAGTTAACTTCAAGTACCATTTAGGATTTATTAAGTGAACCCACTTGAGAGAAATTAGTGATAGCATTTAAACTATCAAGTCAGAAACAAGGCCCTGTAGGAATACTTATTTGCTTGCTTTTAATTATGTAGTTGATGAAGTTTCTCTTTATTAATTATAAATAATAACTTAAAATAGTACTTTTATTGGGTAGATTTACAATGTAGTTTGAGTATATAACTATTACTAAACTTTAATAGAGTTAAAAGAAAAAGTAACCCAATTGAGAACTGACCAATTCAGTATTGTCTGTCTTTTGTATCTATTTGGTAAATTGCCTCTTCCAGATCTCCAGATTAATTGATGTATACTTTTTCAGAGATATGGATAAGTAAATATATGTCTTAAAACATTTGAATTATTGTAGCCTCCTTTTTAAGTGAAAGTAAATGAATATGCAGAAAGGAGAAAAGAGTATGAGAATTGTCTAGTAGTTAGGGAAGACAGCTTCTAGCTTTTGATTCAGTAACTATAATCAGTTCCACAAAGTGATTAGTGTTATGATTGCTAGTGTTTGTTTAGGGAATAGTACAAATAGAGGGAAAATGAATACAATTCTTAAATATTTTATTTACTGTTTGCTGGCTTGACACCATTGCCTTAAGCCGACCTTAGCTTTAACTCCTTATTCTCAGAAAACATCTTTTTAACATGTTTAAAGAAAAAGGTGACATTGCCTAACGGATTATGGTGTTAAAAAACAAAACTCAGCCATACATGAGTTTTACCTTATAGGAGAAGAATCTTAGGCTAGATCTAGAAATAAGAATTTTATCCCGGTTGCACCAATTTATAGACTCTGATTTATAATTCAACTATCTAAGGTAACAGAGTTACCTGAGATCTCTGAATGTTTGATAATACCAAGTAATAGATGACTTACTAGTCAGAATGCTTTGCAATACATTTTATTGTGATTGTAGACCTGAAATGCCATGTTGTTCATATACTTTTAAAATAACTGAGCTAGGTATCATATTACATGTCTGTTTTTCCAGCTACTGGAATGGCTAAAGCAGGAGGAATACTCAAGCCCCAAGAGTTTAAGGCCAGCCTGGCAACTTAGTTAGACACAACTAAAAGCAGATTAGTAAGAATTATGAATCTTGAGCACTACTTGGCTATCCATAGCCTTTAAGGCAAAATTGTATTAAAACTTGTTAATCTCCTATGTCCCATTTTTAAAACCTCTGAGAGACATTCAACATCAGCTTTTCCTTTAACCTAATTTGCTTCTGCTGAGTAATGACTTGCTGATTTTTCTGCCCTTGAATATGAGTTCTATCTGTGTCATGTCTTGTCTTAGCCTGTAGTCCTAATACACACAATCAAAATGATTCAATCAGGAATTCCCCATGAAGTTTATGCAGTAGGTGTCATTTCCTTAGTGGAAAAGAACCTTTAAAAATAAGATGGGCTGGGTGCTGGTGGTTCATGCCTATAATCCTAGTTACTCAGGAGGCTGAGATCTGAGGATTGCAGTTCAAAGCCAGCCCGGGCAGGGATATCTATGAGACTATATCTCCAATTAGCTACCAAAAAATCTGAAAGTAGAGCTGTGGCTCAAGTGGTAGAGTGCTAGCCTTGAGCTGAAGAGCTGAGGGACAGTGCCCAGTCCCAGAGTTCAAGCCCCCTGCCAACAAAAAAATAAATAAGATGGTATGAACAGTGCATATATTCTTTCATATGTGAAGGCTAGATCTAATATACAAACTATGCCTTATAACATATACAGGGTTCAGTGCATTTACACACAAACAGATGGACGAGAGGAGGGTGTGCTTGAGGCAGAATCAAAAGGCACAACTCCTCTAAAGACCTAACATACTCTTTATCAAAATAAAAACCAAAAGTAAAACCGTGTCTTAGGGGGTAGACAAAAGCAGGCACGGCTTGGAGGGAAGAAGAGTGAGCAAATATAGTCATTTTATCCAGGGTATAGTATGTAAAAACTGAGGGTAGGGAAGGGGGGAGAACAAAGGGGTGACATTGCCCAAGAAACATAACCTAACCTGACTTCTGCAATTGTAACCTCTTTGTACAACTACACCATCGTCATCTTCATCATCATGATACAATATGATAGAAACAGAATACCACTTTCAAACAGTGATATTTGCAAACAGAACTGCTAATGATAGTAAAACAGATGATAAGCCAAAGCTGATCAGTAATACTATTCCTGCCTGTGAACTCAGTTTCTTATATTTAATCATTTTTTAAACATTTAAAGGAAATTTCAAATAGCCCTTTTACTGTAAGTGTTTAATATAATTTCATTCCGTATTAATGATCAGTGAATATCAGTGTTTCTAAGTTATTGAGTATCTGCTAATTTACTAGCATCAACATCAAGAGATATATTTGTAAGTATAGCTGAATCTATTTAATGTTCTAGATTACAGGAATGAAGAACTGTTGCCTAATTGGAAAGTGCCAGCATTCCAGACTTCAAAAAACTAAATCCGAAGAGGCTTCTCCTGTTTTATATATTATGTGAAGAATTTAGATCTTATATTGGTTTGCACAAGCTCCCTGGAGAAAAAAAAAAATCACTCTGTGTATAAATCTCTTGGAAAATAAGACAATAGTATTTCTCCTTTGCAATAGCAGTTATAACAGATGTGAAAATAAGTATACTTGACTAATACAATTATACAAAAGAGCATGGATGCATTTCAAATGTTAGATATTGCTACTATAATCAAATGATTTCATATTGACCTTTTTATCATGATTCTTCCCTGTCAAGCACTAAAAAGTTGAACCATTATACTTTGTATCTGTAATGGTATAGATTATAAAATTTCCCCTCAAACTCATTGCAGCAAATAACTTTTTCAAGTCATTGACTTCATTTTATATTTAAAAATTATGAAATATCATCTGTCATATTCTAATTAAAATTGTTTGTGCATAATGCTTTGGAAAAATGGGTCTTTTATAGGAAAAAACTGGGATAACTGATTTCTATGGCTTTCAAAGCTAAAATATATAATATACTAAACCAACTCTAATATTGCTTCTTGTGTTTTATGTCAGATTAAATTACAGCTTTTATGGATAATTAAATTTTAGTACATTTTCATTTGGTTTGTGTGTTTTTGTTATTGTTTATAGAGTTAAAGCATTTATTTTATAATGACCACATTGTTTAAAATTCGACAGCAGCTCCTTTTCTGTCTGGAATCTGCAGAACACTTGGCTTTAAACTACATTAGGTGGTGATCTCTCTCTTAAGAACAGACCTAGCACTTTCTGTTCTAGATATATTTATTCCTACTCTACACTCAAGTACATCAGACAACATGGAATAGTTTTGTATATTCTCTCTGATGTTAAAGATTGTATCTTATTGAATAAAATACCCCACTGTGTATTATTTTTATATGTAAAAAAGATAAGTTTAATACTGTATCAGGGTTTAACTTTTACTATTTTTAAATCTTCCACGGCTTGTAATTTCATTAAGGGAATCCTTTTGCCATGTTAACTTGTTGGGTATGGCTCCACCAATGAAGTATTGTGTGAAAAATTTTTAACTTGCTTTATAACTAGATTGCAGAACTTGAGAGAAGTGAGTGAAAGTTAGAATACATAAAAGGAATGTATTAGTTACTTTTGCTTCAACCGTATATGAAGTAGCATATTAATATAAAAATGCTAAATTAGAATTGTAGTTGGCTATATAGTGGTGCTTTGCTTTTTCCTCCCAGTTATATGCATTTTTACAAGAGATAGAGCATAATTAGGACATGGACCCTGGGTGATAATCCATTCTCCCTAAAGAGAGGTAGAACAAACAGCTTGTTAACCAGTTCATTACTGGAGAAAGAAACAAGCAGGCTTAGGAAACCCCGTGCCTTGTCCCCGAATATCAAGGAGACCAGTCCTAGAAAGTCTAAATCATTGCTCAGGGATCTAGCTACTGTCTTGTTGCAACTAGGCATGAAGATGTGCTCAGCCTTGCGGAATTTTCCAGGAGTGTGGTCTGCCCATAAGTTACTAAATTAAAATTTAATGTCAGCATTCAAATGTAAGCTCTGAGAAGCCTGAAGAAAATGTTAAAACTATTGTTCAATAAACTGGAAATTGTATTCTTTTGAGTTTCTAATAAACTTAGTTACCTAACATTTCCTTTTTACTGATCCAGTTATGGATGTCTGTGATTGAGGGGCAAGAAATACAATAAATTGCAGAAGTACTTAAAATAGCAGGGCCAAATTGTTTAGGTCAAAAAGGTTTGTTGTTGTTGGATGTTTTTTAGTGGGATCTGGCTATATTGCCCATGCCGACTTCAAACTTCTTAGTCCAATACCAGCCTCTCAAGTAGCTGGGACTACAGGCACATGCCAATGTGCCCATCTAAAAGGAGTACTCTATTTTAAGGTCCTCTGAAATTATACTTCACATCTTTTTTTTTCCTGAGGTTTTTTTTTTTTTCAAATTTTTTATTGTGATTAAGTGGTTATATAATTTCCCAACTTTCACAGTATTGTGGGATAGTGATGCTTAGTTAAAGTCACAAACACATTCTAACTGTCCTGGAGCAAATTGTCTATCACGGGCTATAACATTTATGAGTTCTATGAGCTTTGCGATAGTTATTTCTTCCACATTGGGTGATGTGTACATTTCTTTTGTTTTGCATAGCATCAGCTGTTCCCTCTTTTCCACTTGCTCCCTCCCTCCCATCGCTGCCATTGAGTTGCTTAGTTCATTTTGGTCAATGTCCAGTGCAGCTGATGGGTCCCGCTGTTAAATGTTTTTCCCTGATTCCCTCTAGTTCTGTGTTGTCTTCCTGGTTCCCCTCCTGTGTACACATATATACCATACATTATACTTCACATCTTAAACATTTCTTTAGACTTAGAAAAACATAGACAAAGATCTTACAAACCAGCAAAATGGAGTTTCTTGGAACATTCGATAAGACGAATTTAAAGTTTCAGTCTGCTTGAGTGGAAGTATAAACTCAATATCTTTTATTTTGGAATTTTGTGAAGAAAGATGATTTTCATTGGATTCCTTTGCCACATCTTTCACTATGTATTTGCGCTACTGATGGAACTACCTTTTTGGCACATATCAGGACCAGCTAAAATCAGAGATACGCATTACTATCTCAAAGAAATCTGGGTGCTGAGTAAGCCAGAAAAGAATCTTTAGAAAGTAAGAGGAAAGGTTTGTTCTTAAATTGTCCTGGTGTGGAAGCCTTTTACTATTTACTTCAGTGTAGAAAGGGTTTCTGAAAACAGGATGTATTTTTATTGCTGAGAAATCGTCTTTAGGATATTATATGAATTACATGATAAACATTTAAGAATTCTATATTAATATTTATCACTTTAGGAGTAGCATATCATTTAAAGAAGGCTTGATGCCACAATTGATAGTATTTTAATTTGTTTTTTTTCAATCCATTGTAGAATGAACAGTAAATATATGATCTCTAGCTATAATCTTTTCGTCCACCAGGGGGTGCTGCAGGATCAGTGCTTCTACAAGCATTATATTGTAAGTATTTAAGCCCATCTAATTCATGCAGGCTCACCCTCCAAGAGTTTACTATCTAATGAGCAGGAAAGATATACAAGTAAGATTTGGCAAGGGTATGGCTAAGTAACTTCCTGAGTGAACTGTGACCACGTGAACAGTTCCCTTACTAATTTTCTTGAGAATAGAGATATACAGATACTAGTGTCTTCCTCCTTTCTCCCCCAACTCTGAACTCCTCTTTCTTTGGTACCTTAATCTGCCATCATCAATAGCTACACTTTACTCAGTAAAAAGGTTCACTTTCTCTAGAGTTGCAGTGTACTTGGAAAGGTTAATACTTAGGAAAAAGACTGACCTTTATATTTGTTACCAATTTCATGAAAGCAGATGACTTGATTTGGGAGTGGCTTTTTTACATATGAATAGCAATAACACATTCTTGCATTTTTATATCTAATTTAAAATACTCTACCTCTTTTTTTTTTTTTTTTTTGTGGGTCATGGGGCTTGCATTTAGGGCCTAGGCACTGTACCTAAGCTCTTTCATTCAAGGTTAGCACTCTGCCACTTTGAGCCACAGTGCCACTTGTGTTTTTCTAAAGGTTAATTAGAGATAAGAGTCTCACAGACTTTCCTGCCGAGGCTGGCTTTGAACTATGATCCTCAGATCTTAGTCTCCTGAATAGCTAGGAGGCCACCAGCACCTGGCTAATACTTTATCTCTCTATCCTTATGGGTACACATATGTTTGTCAGTTTACATACCTTTATTTTATGAACTATGGGGAAAGTAACAAAACAGTTAAGATTAAGGACTACTCGGGTATTTTCTGAACAATCCTCATAAGATAATATTAAGAATAAGAAGACATAAGCAGGTGCTTCACACTACTCAGGAGGCTGAGGTTTGAGGTTCAAAGCCAGCCCAGGCAGAAAAGTCCCTGAGAATCATATCTCCAGTTAGCCACCAGAAAACTGGTGGAATTGTGGTTGGTAAGAGCACTATCCTTGAACACAAGAGCTCAAGGACAGAGCCCAGGCCCTGAGTTCAAGCCTCATGACCAACTAACTAAAATAATAAAAAGACATAAAACATGTTCTTAGGAGCTGGCAATGGCTCTAGTGGTAGAATGTCTGCCTTGCAAGCATGTAATCTTGAGTTCAAACCCTGGTAGTGCCAAAACAAAAGCATGGTCTTATAAGTTACATGTGTGTCTAATCCAAGTGTGAAGACTTGTTTGGGTCATGTACTTAATGTGCTAATAAATACATGTTAAAAAAAATATCCCCACTTACCTGGTGAGTTGCCTGTAGTTTATACCTGTAATCCTAGCTACTCAGAAGGCTGAGATCTGAAGATTATGGTTCGAAGCTAGCCTAGGCAGATTAAATCCAAGAGATGTTTTTCTCCCTAATTAACCAACAAAAAGCCAGAAGTAGAGATAAGATTCAAATGGTATAGTGCTACCTGTGAGCAAATGCTAATTGAAATGTACAAGGCATTGAGTACTGTGTCTGTCTCATTCTCTCTTTCTCTCTTTCTCTCTCTCTCTCTCTCTCTCTCTCTCTCTCTCACACACACACACACACACACACACACACCACTTGAATCATCTACAAACTTAGAAGGGCAGAGTTGATTCAAGTGTTTTTCCAGGAGCTGGGAAAGGCCAGTCTTGTGGAGTGGGAAATGAATATGAGCTTTGAGGCAGTCTAGCCACCCAGCTATTAACATTCCCCAAAATGTAGTACAGTAATACATTAGTTGTAGATTTCTCTTGACTGCAATTTCACCTTGGAGTTCTGGAATGTACAGCTTGCTTAATGCTAGAGACTTTGAATTGGGTGCCTCATTCTGTTTTCTGGGAAGGCAACATGAATTCTGCTGCAGATATTTAACGGCTTTAAAAGGATATGGGAAAGGGGAACACAAGTTCTTTGGATTTGTTAAGGAGTGTCCTCTGGTTCCAGGCGCAAGGTATGACATACATTTCTTGCTAATTCTTTTAAGAAGCAAAAGATTGCCTGTTCCTTTGAGAGAAAACCCCTTCAATAAACCTTCCCATTTTGAACAATAGTGTGACTCTGTTGCTTTGAACTATTGTCTTCAATATTTTTTTAAAATTAACTGTACCCAAGTTCTTGTAATAGATATTGTAGGACCTACAAAAACAACAGAATCCTTACTTATTAGTCAGTCTACATTGGTGCTGATCTGTATGCTACGAAAGATACAACAGTGAACAATATGGACCAAAATCCTTTCCCCTGTACCTTTAATCTTAGAAAATGACAGATGATACATGCATGCACTTCCATGTTTGTAATAATGCTGTAAGAGAAGCTGTATAGTGCAAAGGAGCAGGAATGCCAGGGAAAAGGAATGAGGTAAGAGTGGGTTTGAAAGATTGTGTCTCTCAGATGGTTATTTGGAATACTGGAAATGTATACCCTGAGTACTTGCCTGGGACAAAGAAGGGCCTTCCATGCATTGGCAAAGTCAGTGAATGCCTTAGGTGAACATGTGCTGGGGTGTTAGAAGACTAGCAAAGAGATCTGTGTGGCCAGACCAGAGTGAGCACAGGGGAGA